CATGTTCTTAATGTCATGGAAGTGAAGGCTTTCACATTATACAATTGTGCATACATTACAAGTACTCTAGAGAAATTACACATGCCATCCCATATCATTCTAACAAGTTTTACAACAATATAAGCATGGTAAATCAATTTATCAAACAAGGAAATTAGTCAAATAAACATGTTCTCATACAACTCAAGTGACACATTTAATCATAACCTCACATATAACACTTACATCATCTTTAATACAATTAATTCAAAAATAAGCATGCTTTTCAACAATTTAGGAGGTATAATTCACAAAAGAGCAAGAACATCATGAATTAAGGGCCCCTACCTCAAGATTGCACAAAACCCTTAAAATGGGTCCTTAAATTCGAAGCCCCTAGGAAGACCAAAAACTGAAATTGCTTGTATGAGCGCGTAGAGCTCGTCGCGGGCTTTGTTTTGCCTCAAACGATACTTAAAAACACAAAGAAATGAGGGAGCAATCAAGAATTGAAACCTTGAAGTGGAAAAAGGAAAAAGAAAACAGAGAGGAAGGTGGAAGCGGGCAGCTGGGAAAGAGAAAGTGAGATAGCAGAAAACAAAAACACAAATGTGGTCTTAATGACCACTTTAAAACAAAATTGTGGGTCCCTCCACTAACACACATATATATATATTATGCAAGTCTCCAATTTAATAAAATAATCAATCTTTGACAATTAAAAGTGATAAATTAAACTAAAAAAAATCCGGATCATCACAATCTCCACCACTTAAAAAGAATTTCATCCCCAAAATTCAGATCCAACAGTCATCCTATACCCGAAAACACCAATAATCACAAAACCAAATCCATAAATCCTTAACCCAAGCGATGTGAGATACAGTGATATGTAGGACGTTGTAGTAGCTGACAGTGCTAGTCACCCGCCCACACACTCCGTAACCGTTGTGGTAGCTAGTCAATGCGTCACCCGCCTACTAAAAAAACAAACAATAACAAATCTGGACTACCTGCCCAACCACATTAACCATCCATCCCAGTGGCTACTGGTGAACGCCATGCGCCCACACACACCCGGCTACGAGTGGTAGCTCATCAGTTCTACACACTCGCCCACTCATACCCGTCTACATCATCACTATACCCACACTTCCGGTTGGGTACAGCTCTGATACCAATCTTGTAATGACCCTAGCTGATGCCAAAAATTAAAAAAAAATTCAGCATAACCTCCCCTAAAAATGGGCCTTCAACAACCTATCCCAACACATAATAAAATTAATATACTCCAACATCCCATTCATCACACCTCAACATAGCTCCTCTCATGGTAGAACATGCACACACCAATTAATCCAAGTTATAATAATTACAGTCCCAAAATATAGTTACAATAACAAGAAGAGTTCACAAATCTCTATACCAAATATAACAAACTAAGATTTTACAAAAATATGGGACTTAATACAAAAATAGCAAAAGAAGTCTTCTAATTCAGATTAGGCCTGTGGTGGAAAGTCATCCGTCACTTCTTTCCCGTTTCCTGAAAAAAATAATAAGTATGCAGGGTGAGCTATATGCTCAGTAGGTGACACTTAAGACACGCATCTTGTGTCCTTGTGAATCCATACAAAGAATAGATCAATAGGAATGGGGATCATACAATATCGGGATAATACAACATTCCAATCAAACTCAAGTACAAACAATGCAATGCCATGAAATGCGAATGCATGCCAATGTCGCTCCCCGTTTTCACATTTAAAATCCATCTCTTTCAAACTGTTAATATAACCCGCCCTTTGGTGACCCCGCAGCGACACGAGAGGAGGATTGGCTAGTGTCCCTGACCCTTGGTAACCCCGCGGCGTCATTATGGGGCCCAGCTAGCTCAACCACGCTAGGGCGACTCCCTAGTTCCCTCTAGGCTATATTAACACTCCGGCCCTTTGGTACCCCCGCGGCGACTGGGTTTTCCAAAAACACTTTCATCAAAATACTTTTCCCCAAAACTCCCTATTTTCATTTCAAAAAACAATCTTCCCAATCATGTCTCATAGTATGCATGTACATCATGTTCTTAATGCCCTGGAAGTGAAGGCTTTCACATTATACAATTGTGCATACATTACAAGTACTCTAGGGAAATTACACATGCCATCCCATATCATTCTAGCAAGTTTTACAACAATATAAGCATGGTAAATCAATTTATCAGACAAGAAAATTAGTCAAATAAACATGTTCTCAAACAACTCAAGTAACACATTTAATCATAACCTCACATATAACACTTACATCATCTTTAATACAATTAATTCAAAAATAAGCATGTTTTTCAACAATTTAGGAGGTATAATTCACAAAAGAGCAAGAACATCATGAATTAAAGGCCCCTACCTCAAGATTGCACAAAACCCTTAAAATGGGTCCTTAAATTCGAAGCCCCTAGGAAGACCAAAAACTGAAATTGCTTGTATGAGCGTGTAGAGCTCATCGCGGGCTTTGTTTTGCCTCAAACGATACTTAAAAACACAAAGAAATGAGGGAGCAATCAAGAATTGAAACCTTGAAGTGGAAAAAGGAAAAAGAAAACAGAGAGGAAGGTGGAAGCGGGCAGCTGGGAAAGAGAGAGTGAGATAGCAGAAAACAAAAACACAAATGTGGTCTTAATGACCACTTTAAAACAAAATTGTGGGTCCCTCCACTAACACACATATATATATATTATGCAAGTCTCCAATTTAATAAAATAATCAATCTTTGACAATTAAAAGTGATAAATTAAACTAAAAAAAATCCGGATCATCACAATTATTCCATGTAGGTCAAGAATGTTGAAGCTAACATCTAAGGAGGAACCTAAGCAACACGAGAGATTCTTATTTTTGGTTGACATTAAGAGAGGGAAGGCAAAAATTAGTACCCAGGTAACTCGAGCTCGGGGGTAGTTGGTCTGTCCTTTAATAACTGATTATCTCTCCTATTTATACTACTCCTTCTTCCGGTTAAGGACAGGATGACTCATCTTTTACCTATAGACGGTTTAATGGTCATGCCTCTAATAGATGGGACACCGACAGGTGGCCTGAGGCGATTCGTATCTTAGTTCGAGGGGGTGGTCATATCCTGCATTAAATGCGGGTCATGTTAACAGGTTGCCGCATTCAATGCGCCATCTATCCTCTAGTAAGAGCTCGGTCCTGGGTAATAATCATCCTCTCCCCCTTGTGCTAGTCTCACCTCGAGGCGTTTTCTTATATCCCAGCCACCTGTTCGTTATACCTCAGATTCTTGACGCCATAAATGAGGGAGAGGGATCCCTCAGGGCTCTGCCTTCTAGATTCCCCGAGACCCCCATCCTTTCCGCACCCCGAGTCTCGTAAACAAGTGAACTCGAGATGGGAGATCATTTTTCAAGATCGAAGCTCTATCTGCACGAAAGAGCTCCGAGAGTAACACGAGAGGTGAGAGCAGGGTCCCTCCACATGAGAGAGAAGGGTGGCGACCCATTCCTCTCACAAGATATGCAATTGCGGAACAAGTAGCTCGAGGTTACTTGGTACCCTTCAGAGGGATGCCCAGGCAGATACCGGCGTGGTCTACTCAGCATTGACTAAGTGTAATATTCCAGAAATGCTGCCACATGGCGTGGTGCCGCGGTTTGCTCATCTACACATATTTATCAAAATCTATTTACCAATTCAGGATGATATTTGCATGATTGATCTCACCAACCTTTGCCTTGTCCGTCAATGATGCCCAAACTATAGACATTGAGGCCACTTATGCCACTGAATCCTAGCCATTGACTCGCATCACGCCCCTTCCATTCTGGTAGGTGAGGATGGCGCCACAATTTTTTCTCGAAATCTACATACTATTTGGGAAAAGGGAAAGAAGAAGAAGATTACATTATAATATAATTTTGTGAATAAACCATACTTATTTGATTTGATGCATGTATTTTTATAAATATCAAATTAATTTTTTCCTTACATTAAAATCAATTTTCTTAGCCTTGCATGGACCACTAAACATTGCTGGAGTTAACAAAAATTTCGACCACCTTAGGAGTTACATTTTTTGTGTTACATGCAGCATTCCATGCCTTCAGAAATGCCTAAAATGGAGTATAAATGGTTTTGTTAATTTTCTTAAGGTGAAAAAATGAACTAAAACTCACAAGAAAAAAAAAATACTCGAGTATCATCTTTATGGCTCCCCGATAGCTCCATACTCCAAGACATTAAAAGTGCCTGCATTTTTTTTTTTTTGGCGTTTGAGGAAGCAATCATTGAAGAAACTATGCCTAGAACAAATATAAAAGCAAAAATATCCTGCAAAACATGAGAAGTAGAAAAAGACGGAGTTAATTAGTTTAATGTATAGTTTTCAAGTTTATATGAATCATATATATTTGGAAAACGTATTTATGGATGTAACCTATAATCAATTCCAAAAGTATGAATTGTTATGAAACTAGAGTTACCTATGCAAAAGAAACTAGCTAATTATTTAAATTGAAAAAGAAACAAAAAGTTAATTCTCACCATGATGTATGAAAAAATACTAGAAATGGCCACACACACACGGGAAATGTAGACCTAAAATACAAACAAAAACAAAGTTACAATTTAGTAATTCTAAAGAATCAACTGTAAAACTGTAGGAGTATAAAATTAAAATTAATGAAGCATTTAAGTTTTGCAATTTCTCTTTTCAATTTAATCATATCCTTGTGATATACTTACCATTACAATTCAGTTTATACACAGTTCATTGAAAATCAAGTTAATGTCTTTTCCATTTTCCTACTCAAATAAGATTTTAATTCTTCTCAGTCCAGCTCCAGTTAAATAATATAATTTTTTTGTTATTTTAGGGCTTAAAGATGTGCAAAATACGCAATTCAAAGAGTATAGATTGTAAAAAGGCAAATTGGAATGTCCATGGGCATTTCAGTAAAAACATATGTCATAATTTGTCTTCACTACGAGGGCGCCTTATCTATCTAGTTGTTGTGTAGCTTCTGCTTGTATTCGTCATCACCACCACCACCATCTCCGATCCAAATTTACCTGCGCTTCGAAGGCATTTGCCATCCAGACTGTCCCAAGTTTAACAGTCGTCTTCCAATCATCTTCAAAAGCACTTTCCAATTTCAATTATCAAAGTAAAACCAACCAACCAACCAACTTCAAGCTCTTTAAAAATGGTGAACTCTCTGTGTTTCACTCCACCAATTTCCTTCAAACCCGCTAATAAACCAGGTACATATGTTCCCCTTCCCATCTCTCTCTTTCTCTATATATACACACATATATGTACACATGTATATTACTCTTGATTCATTTTATCTTATTATATATCTTGTATTAAGTGTATAAGCTTTTATTGTAATGAATATTGATGGTTTTAGGGCTTAATAATGGAAATTCTACTGCTCAGAAGGTTCTTTGGGTCAACGGTACAACTCACAACTGTAAAAATGCTAAATTTCAATCTATGGAGGCTAAGGTGAGAGTTCATTTGATTCAAAGATTTGAATTCTAACCATTTTAGCTGAATACAATCAAGCACAATACTTGAACAAACTTATTAAATAAGGAGCTCATACCGATTTATTATCTGCTTAAATTGTATTAATTGCAAGATATGTGAACAGAAAATGTTTAACTGATTACTAGGAATACTAAGAAAATACGGGATGTGTTTTTGGTGCAAAACTAGGAAGTAACAGTGGAAATGTTAAAGATTCATCACCAGGAAATACCACAAAGACTCCATTTTCTTTTAGATTTCTATTGAACATTTTTAGGTGAATTTCACATGAAACTGCCCATAAGAGGTATTTCAAAGCTATCCTCTATTGCATTTGATTTATACAATTCATGTTTAATGAAAAATGTGATATTGTGGTCTGAAACCTGGCACATTTACTCGTATGCATTGTTAACAACAAATTTTTTTTTTTTTTTTTTTGAAAGTTAGTTAACAACATTGTGCCTATAAATTTAGCATATTAAATCTTTTAGATGAATGAATGGGAGAGAAGAAGTAATATACTTAGAAAGTGGAGTTTTTGTAAAACTTAGATGCGTGATGAAGGAAAGTCGTCTAGGATTGTAACTGCAAAAGAGATTCGTGGTCGCCTTATTACTTAGAAGTAGATATGGAGCAAAATGGAAATAAAGAATTTATGTAGCCACTCAACATATAGGATGGCCTTAGTTGAGTTGACTTGAATAGTATTCAGATTGCATTTTAATTCAAAGGGCTTTTGCCTGATATCTCTGTGTTTCTGACCTTTGAATTAGCTTTCATCTTGGCTTTACAGGCTACAAATAGCAGTCAAACCCCCAAATCAAATAGCTTAGTTTGTGCTGATTGTGAAGGAAATGGTAAGTTGAACTAGTGACTTTTATTTCTCTTTTCTCTAGGGTTCTTTCTTTCTATCACTGATGTTTTCTTATTGTTTCATGAGATTGAACATTTTTGTAGTTATTGTTGATATTAAATTGGTACACAATTTATTCTATGTCCTGTAGAATGATGTTTATATGTTATACATTATTTGCAACTGGTTTAAGATGATAAAATATGTGATTTGCTGAATCTGGTCATTCCAGGTGCTTAAAAAAACACTTGGAGTGCAAATTTTATTCTTATATATGGTTGTGTACTTTGAGATGGCACATATTTTCCTTGAGAAGGGTAGTAGGATTTGATCTCCATTTCATTCATCTTTCATGATTATCTGATTTGAACAAGTATGGCTATTCTAAGTTTCAGTCATGGACAATTCATTCAGAAGGATGGCTATCCTAAGTTTCAGTCATGGACAATTCATTCAGAAGGATGGCTATCCTAAGTTTCAGTCATGGAGAATCCTTTCAGAAGGAAAGTGTAGCTTAATCTAATTTGTTAATGGACAAAAGCAACACAGAGCATTATAACATGCTGATGCTTAATAGTTCTGATTATGGATGCCTCTGTTGCGAAGAATAGCTAATAATATTATTACGAAAAATGGTGCTTGTTGATGTTCTATTCATAATTCTTATTTGTGGACACCATCTATGTACGGGAAGATATTAGATATATTACGTGAAGTAGCAGAATATTGCTCAACTGCTACGTCTGATTATGGAACCAGCAAATCTTGTTGCAAAAAAATTCTCACAGTGGTTTAGAGAATATGTAACTATGTAAGGTCAATTTGCCATTCTTGTTCATTAGGTACGACAGTTAGAACACAATTATACATATAGGTTTCTTCTCTTTATGAAGAGGTGCATTTAATCAATTAAATCTCTGGATGTTAGGTGATTGAGAAGTAAGATTATTGTTTTAAGCCACTAGTAACTGTCTTAGCCTTTGAGAGGTGACTTTTGTATTCTCAATATCAAATTATGGTGGTTGAAGAGATATGTAATCCCTTGGTAGAATGTGTGTTATGTATTATAAGTGCAATATTGCTTGATTAGATCCTATCTTAACATTGTCCCACTAGTGCTTCCGTGTTGGTTAGGCAGATTTGTTCGGATGGCACTTTAAACCTTCTATTAACGTGTAATCATGCAACACTTTTAAGAAGAGTTTATTTCTTTATCAACCAAAGTTCTCAATGAATATGAATATCGGTTGTGTACATATTTATTTGTTTCGATCTATGACTGCTATTGTAAGGAACTTTCTTTAAATCCTTACTTTCAACCATGCAGTTTTCCTTCTCTGGAAACAAATATTTGTTAAAATATCATCTCAGAAAGTTTCTATTTTTCATTGCCACCAGGAGTCATATTGTGTTCACAGTGCAAAGGCACTGCAGTTAACTCCACGGATTACTTCAACGGACGATTTAAAGCTGGTGGATTATGTTGGCTTTGCAGGTATGTATAATCAATTGTTTTAGCTGCCTTGCTATTTTTTTTATTTTTTTCCCATAGTTTTTTAGCTGCCTTGCTAGCCATTGGATGTTGGACCATTTAAGTACTATACTACTAGTATCAGCTGATTCTCTTGTCCCCATACCACATTAACAAAGGTATGAGTATGACGCAACAGGGTTGTGGTATGGAGATGTGTTGGATGGGGAATCGAAATTGAACACTTAATCCTGTACTTTTGATTGCAGAATAAATTCGAATAAGAATACTTTTCTATTTTTTACCTGAAAAAAATTGATAGAAAATCTTTCTCATTTTTTTCCCCCTCATTACATCCCAATTAATTTGAATTCCATTAGTTCATTTGTGAAAAATACTAATTGTGATATAAACATCACAATATTATAGAAAATATAATCCATTTGAATGTGCAGGATGTATCCACATATCTGTGTCCAAAATTTAAAACCATTTCAAGCTGAGTCCTCATATCCTGAGATTTGGGGTTCAGGGAAGTCTGAAAACACAAAAAACCAATTCATGTAGTTGAATCCATTAGCATTTGAGTATTTGTATCATCGCATTTATAATCATCATTGTCATCCCAACTTGTGAAGGCTAGAGAATTTTCAGTTTTTGACCCAGTTTTTGATTGAGATGAAATGAAAATTTTGGAAAGTTAAAACTATATTATGGAACTCTATAGGAAGTTAGGAACCAATCAAATTTGGCTGAAATTAGAAATTGACTCAAAAATGAAATTATGTTCCCATTGAGGAAATGGCTATAAAAAATATATGTTGTTATTGTGTTGGAAGCACAAGCAGATAGATATGCTATAGGAACTAAGATGGATTGTTGGATCCTTCGTTGCAATTTGTAATCCTGGACAACTTTAATGACCCATTATAAAAGGTAGGTCTCATCACTTGCCACTTCGTTTGCCTTCAACTGTTTCTCTTCTCAAATTTAGGTTGTCATTGCAAAATTTTAGGACAAATTCTCATATATTGCTTTATACGTGATAACAATTATTGTAACAGTAAAAAAAGAAAAAGAAAAAAAAAAGGTACCTTGGTCTCAAAATCTTGGGGTGCTGCTTTGAGGGAAATAGCATCTATTAGAGCAAGCTTACCATGAGGACAACCTCAATGTTCTTGCCATGGGCTTTGAACTCTGAGGTTGGAGCAAGTTTACCATGACGACAACCTTCTGATTGGTATATTTTCTGCTTAAAAATTTATGCTAAAAAACAAATCAAGGTATCTTAAAATGGCATCAACACACTTGGGTAAAAGAGGATGACAGTAATTGGGTCAAACTTGGTTTAGGACAGACAAATGATTGATCAGTGCGCGCAGTGAGTCTGTTTTATTGGATAGTGATTGTTGAATGGCTGGGACCTTAGGGGCATGTCTTGATATTTATGCAAGTTTGCACTTTGGACCTAAACATGTTTATAGTGTTTTCTATTCTATTTATCCTTTATAGTAATGCTATTAAGAGAGCTCTCTCATGACAAGAGACATGAGTTCTCCACATTTAACTACTGGATTGAGACAGTTTTTTAAGATCCGTGAAAAATTAATTGAGTCCCTGAATACATTTTTCAATTCAGTGATTAAATGTGGAGAGTTCATTGCTCTTGTCACGAGAGAGCTCTCTTAATAACATTACACTATTTTTTATTTATCTAATCTTTCAGAATTTTTGTAACACATTATAACATCTTGATGAATGACTCTTCCAATACCTTTGCTACTTTTTCGTTGGACAATCATCTATTTCATTGAAACAGATATAGCCAAAAGCATTTTAACTTCCTTTACATTTAAAATACTGAGAAAAGTCAGGTGGAGTGCAGAACCCCCCGCCTTGTTGACATTTTATGCACTAGTATGCATGTACGAATGTTATGATTTCTTTATGAATATCTTGTATTGTATGCCGAATATTGTTGGTTAGACGACATTGATGGAACATGCGCAAGCATAATCTTCCACAGTGGCTTTACCATTCAGTGAATTTGGTTACAAGACCTTCATCTGGGCACCAATTTGATAACAGCTCGTTTTATTTTTAATTCATTGCAGAGGTAAAAAGGAGATCTTATGCGGGAGTTGTAATGGAGCTGGCTTTGTGGGTGGATTCATGAGCACTGGAGATGGTTAGAATTCAGATCTTGAGTGAGATGTGCTGGTCTTGAGATGAATTTGGTAGATTATTTAACGTCTTTTTGTTATGCATCTTAAGATGGAAATGGCATACATCATTGTAAAATGTCCTTTAGACACAAATCAGATACTTCTTATGTCCAATCAGATAAAATAAAAAAAATAAAAAAAAAAATAAAAAAAGGTGGTTTTAATCCTTTATCTCAATCTCATAATTGCTCTGTCAGTTTTTTCTATTTAAGGTGTTTGTTGGAATATTGAATGCAAGGGTTTGGCGGACCATAACTTGAAATTATGGGTTTGGTGAATTCTTGCTCTGTCATGACTTTGTAACTGCATTTTGTTTAGATTATGATGCAAAGATCAAATTGGGCTTTTTCCAACTTCTATTCAACTCAAGTCAAATCAACAAACCATTCCAAATTATATGGGGTGGGTTAGATAAATCATTTTTGTCCTTCTAAATCTCAATTAAACCATATAATAGTATATATATTTATAAAAAAAATACCAATTGTCCCAATCCGTTTCTTGTTCTGTCCAATCTCCCAAGCATTATCATCAACAGGCATTCGAGAGTTGACCCTTATTGAACGTTATTTCCTTTGAACTGGCATGAGAGTCGGAATAAAATTCACATAGTCCACTTCAAGTAGTTGGAAAAAGAATTGGTGATGGTTGTTGTCGTTGAAAAAGAGTTAGAAGTTGATGGCAATTATCAGACATCTTTTTTCAAATGGAAGCGAGAAGCAACATTTATAAGTGAAACTCTTAAAATTTTGTGTTGAAGAGTTAACCAACCTTATTGATAATTTTTCCAATTTCCTACCCATTGTTTTCATTCATAAGAGTGGCTTCTCACCTCCATTTGAAGATACGTTAAGTTCCCTTACGCGTCAAAGGATTTTGTATAATGTCAATTAAGTTTTAACTTTTTGGTCCATAATTTTCTCGTGAGCTTAATTTGACAACCATTTCAAAGTGCTTTGACGAGCTGTGCTGTTTGAAGGGTTCCTTGCATCAGTAAATTAAAAATAGGGTATAATACGTAAATACCTGAGAATACAGTTTTTATGCTATGATGGTGAATATCATGAAAAAACACATAAATCATAATATGTTATCTCAATCTCCCATTTGAGGAGAGGTTATACCGTCAAAATCAAAGACAAAAATTAAATATTATATATATATATATATATATTGCCAGAGTTAATCATGAAAAAACACATAAATCATAAATATTCACCATCATAGCATAAAAACAGACACTCACGTACATGATGTCCACACATGTCCTATTAAATGGACGACCGTTATTAGGAACAAGATTATAAATAGGATATGAATTACAAAAATACGTGCCACAACAAATTAAGTTGGACATGTGGGTTATTGAAAAGTTTTCAATAACCCACAATTTCGCATAACCAACTTAATTTGTATTCAATGAAAACTCTCATTGTGCTCTCCAACATGCACAATTTCGCTCATACATGAATTGGGCCCTGGCCCAACCCACACACCTTCGCCAAAACAACCTGCGACAAACGGTACGAGACCACTAGTTAAGCTCTCACCGGAGATTTCTATTCTCTCTGCATTCCAACCGTCCGATCTAATCCTTTTAATACGCAGTTAACAGATCTTGTCCGTGCACCTCGAATCTTTATAACCTAACCAAACCATAAATAAATAAAATCATTAAAATAAAAAATTTAAAATTTGAAATAAATACCCATTAATTCAAACTAGATTTCTCTGAAATGAGTTGGCATTAGATTTTAAATTTCAGTGGAAAATCATTTGAAATAAAAAATTATAAATACTACTTACCACGGAGCCAGAAACGTCGCCAAAATCGAAAGTGATTTGGTGGTTGGTGATTGGTGCTGAGGAACATCTTGCTCTGACTATCATTTTCTACAGGGAAAGTGCAGAAAACACCTCTGAAGTGTACTTTGTGTAGCACTTTTACTCCCTATTTAAAAAAGTGTGCAATAAACACCCTTAATCTTTTAAAATTATACAAAATTACCCATCTGTGCAATAAACACCCCTAAATTATTGCTGTAATACCCATTTTGCTCTTTTAATCTTCCCAAAATACCCCTCTTTCTCTTTCTACTCTCTGCCGCCAATCCCACCACCGTCTTCTTCTGCACCCAATTTTGCTTTCACTCTTCTTCTTCATCATCATCACCGAATCAACAGACATCCAATTAAAAGCTAAAACATGAAATTAAAAGCTAAAATATACTAATAATTTACAGACATGATTGCTTGATTCGAGAACTCACACGAATCGGATCCGGGCAGGGACAGGCTCAGAGAGGTAGGCGGGTCGGTGGTCAACGACGACGACGACGATCTGCTGTATCGGAGGAGCTACCCCGACGGTTCTCTCAGACGAATTAGATTCGTCGATCTGCAGCCAATTCCAACGCCCCTTGCTCATAACCGCCGTGAGATCTCGTTGGCCGCCCGCCTATCCTGGGATCCATAGTCACCGGTGGGTTCTTCTCCATCCACCGAGCTTTTTTTTCACGCCCAGATTCACAATGCAGGCAAAAATCACAACCTTTTCGGCAGCGACAGAAGCGGACTAGATGGCTGAAACGGTGACTTGGGACGGAGTGCGGCAGTGAGCTTCGGATCGGTGGACCGGCAGAGATGGACAGCTGGTGACATGGGTTCGGTTCGACGGTGGCTTCGGCTGTGACGAAGCTTGGCTGGACTGATGGCTGTGCAACGACGGCGGAGCCCGTCTTCTCCCTTCTTGCCGGCAATGTTACTCTTGGTTTTGTGATGAATTTTTAGAGAGATGAGAGAGAGTGTTTGAGAACTGAGGGCGGGAGTGTTGTGGTTTTTGGTCTTTTTACAACATTTTGTACTTTTATATATTTTATAAAATTATTGACTAAGGGTATTTTAGTCAAGTTTGATTTTAAATTGGCAAGAGGGACTTGATTGCACCAAATTAAAATTTGAGGGGTATTTTTTGCACTGGAGGGATGTGATATGCACTATATGCATACTTGAGGGGTGTTTTTTGCACTTCACCCTTTTATATAGACATGTAGTTGCAACCTGATCATGATATTTTAAGAATTTAAAACAAGTATTATTATTAATAACCCATATATATATATATATATATATATATATAATATGTGTGGCTGTGTAAAATATATTTTATATTAGAAATAGATAGCTAGCGCGTGTTCTTAATTGTAATGTGATAAAAGTATATTAAGGTAAAGGTACTGAATGGACCCAATTTGAAATTTGAAATTGAAATAATTAATGAAATCAAACATGAAAAAATAGTCCAATTCAATTCAGTTCTCCAATTTTGAGGCTTTTTATATTTCAATCTAATATATATATAATAAAATGCATATTATATATTATATAATATTCTATTCTATATATTATAATACATAGTTGAGTAAGTAAAAGATTAATTGTCTTTAATTATATACTCCCTTTGTCCAAAAAAAAAAAATGTCATAATTTCTTTTTTTGTCTGTCCCAAAATAATTATTCAATTTTTTTTTTTCAAATAATATATTTTACATCTTTTCATATATGCCCTTGGAATTTAAAATTTCAAACTTGAATATATGGACAGATTAGTAACTTTCCAGAAAGATAAGACATGTCTTATACGTCTCCTTAAAAATTCTTACTTTCCAAAAGTGACATGAGAATGTATTATATAAAATATATAAATATATATTTTAAATAAAGATTTGGTTCGATTTGAAATAATATAATTTTAAGCTAAAATTAAATCATTTATAAACAATTTTATATTTTTGAAATCAGCATCGAATTGAACCAAACAGTTAAAAAAAAGTACAAATCAAATTGACCGAGTTCATTTGATCCGATTAGTTTAACGGGTTTTTTAATTTTTACTGGCACCACTACCATATATAGACATATTTTTGAATTTTGCATTACCTGGTTAGTTTTGATCTGGAAGGATGTGAAGAGGTGGGACTGCCTTGTAGTGATGGTTCTGCAAAGAGGAAGAGGAGGAGAAATGAGAGTAATTTGGCCATTTTTGTGTAGAATGTCAGTGGGACTGAATGAATATGCGTCACAAAATGTGTATGCATATATATATATATATATATATATATAGTCTTACCCTAATAAATAGTTGTGATAATTAGTAAAACAACAAAATGCACACGTCCTCAATTATCAACTTTGTTTTGTTGCAAGATTTAAAACAAAAAATTTAAAAAAAAAATTATAAATGACAACAAAATTATAATTGGGACCTTCGGTAACATCTTTTTGTTTTGCCGTAGGCCAACAACCAAAAAAAAACAAATTGAAGATTCTTCCGAATGCTTTTACGTTAATGGCGAGAAACACACCGCCGATGGTTAAAATATCTATCAAAGAAAATTTATGCCACATTTTTTTTTTTTTTCTAATTAGTATTCACACACACATATATTTTTTCTGAAACTTGAACCCTAACCTCCTTTTAGTATATAAAAAACTGATATTGATAGACCGTTAGTTATACCACGCATGCTTTATCTCTTTTTATCCAGCAAAAAAACATATTGTGTCTCAAAGAAGAACACAACAAGTAACAATTGGTTTCAGTAGCTCGATTAGTATGATTTTTTTTTTTAATAGAAAATTAAGAGTTTACTTCAAGCTTTTTTGGAATAAATATTTTTGAGACATGGTCATTGAATCTGATTTCTATTTAGGTACTAAAGGAATCAATCCTTTTAATGATATTAATTAATAGTGCCAAAAGTTAATTAGATGAAGCTTCAACTGCAATAAAAAAATCTGAATGTTGGGAATTTAACATTAGTCTATAGAAAATGGTAAACATTTTTTGCCAATTGATAATCTATGGATAAAGGTTGTTTCCTTTTGACTGGCTTCCAATAAATAATGTCCGATGCAAATAAAAAGTCTACAAATAAGTAGATATATTGTGAGCCTATCTTATAATTGCACAAATGAAATGATTTCTTATTTGCCTGGAATGAAAAAGCAATGAGCCTATCTTATTATTCTTATATTGCCATCAAATGAAAAAATAAAATAAAATAAAATAAAAAGGTCTTATTTGCATGGACAAAAATCCCTTCTTTAAGAAAATAAAAAATAAAAACAAAAAAGTCCATCATTTAAGCATTAATATAGGACTCACTCATATTGTCTTCTCCCACATAACTGCAGATAATGACACAGTGTTACAATGATTGAACCCAAACCACACACCGTTGGGTAGAAACGTATTATAGTAAAAAGTAACAGCCCTAGAATTTGGACCGTAGATCTTTACACTCTCTGGCTTCCAACCGTCCGATCCACTCCTCAACATGTACAGATAACAGATCTCGTACGCGCAGGGCCCTCGTATCTGAAACGTATCTGTAGAACATCTCTCGAACGTCCTGGAATACGGATCGTCCAGTCTTGGTGCATAGACCTAACCATCAAATCCATCGGCAGAATTTGAAAAAAATAAAAATACCCATTAATTCAAATCGATTTTGCTACAATGGGTTGGTCTTAGAATTGTGAATTTTGATTGGTACTTGCCTCTTTGCCATAAGAGTCACCAAATGCGAGACTAACTTTGTCTCTGGTGTATGATGTTGAGGAACAGCTCGTTTTGATGATCACCGTGTACGGACAGCTACTTGCAGTCTGATTATGAAATTTTGTGAATTAAAAGAAGACGTAAATATATATATGTGTGTATTTCTGTGAATATTATATATGCATGGATATGTATAGAGATTCGTGAATCTTGATGTACCTTGTTAGTTTTGATCTTGAAGGATCTGAGAAAATGGGGCTGTGTTGGAGTGATAGATCTGGCGATGGAGGTTACAAGGAAGGCTGCAAAGAGGAGGAAAATGGGGAGTAATCTGACCATTTTTAATACAATCGCCTATGTCCTACCGTGCGTGTGCGTGTGCGTGTGCAATGCAATCTATATATATATATATATATATATATATATATATATATATAGAAGGAAAGAAATTCATATTAAATAAGATTGGGACAGATTGATGATCATGAACTGTCTATTTTATTTATTTATTTTCTTTTTCTAACCTCTGTCAAATCATAGTTCCTTTATAATCTATGATTTTTAAAGTATGAAATTATTGATGTCATGGTAGGTCATGTTAACTGCTGGGGTTCACACGCCATGACTTTCATTTCAGATCTACGGTGCCAAGTGGTCAAAACTCACAACCATGCTGTTAATTTCTTATGATGCGTCTCTTATGTCGAAATCATCATGCTTTAACGGTAATTCATCTAGTTAATATCAACTAGATTGAAATCATGACGTTTTTTTTTAATTTTTTTTTCAATGCTTTAACTTTTGTAATATAATAAAAGATAAATTACATTAAAATCATCATGCTTTTTTATAATTCGGTTTTCAAAAATTAGTTTTTAGATAAAATGTCAAGTAAATTGATGACCTTTGTTTTAGAAGTAGAGCATTCTTGGGCTTTCATCATAATATACACCAGTAAAACTTCGCATACAGAGTCTGTATTCTAGATTTTAGATGCACGGGTAAAAAAATCAAACATTTATATAGGAGTATAAATTTCAATTATCACAACATGATTCTGACATCTTTATAAAAATTCTGTTTTTCCTAATAAATTGGAGAATTATTGATGATAATAGGATCCATCAATGTCATTCTCCATTAGGTTACAGAATCATTTACCTACACAACCATCCAGATATGCCTGGAATTGGATCAGTTTAAAAACAAACACTCCATCATAGAACAGATGCCATCTCTACTAAATGGAAGCCTATCTTGTCACCGTAAAACCACCAAATCCAAATGCTGGAAGGTGAAAGCTATGGCAATGGTGCTCACTGTTCTCACCGTGAAATCACATTCTCAGTTGCTGAATTGAGAACTCTCTCACTGAACCCAAGTACTGATAATGTATTAATGCGAATCCAAAGAAGACATAATTTTGACACCATCTACAAATTTGCTTTAGGGTCATCATATTACATGTAAAGACCTGGAAGAGCACTTTGGAAACAATTAACAAGGCTTCTCGTATCATACTTTATGCTATAGACAATGTATGAATTTTCAAATGGAAGGAATAATAACCCCACCACAATCAGAAATAATTCGTGCTCTTGCTCAGAGAGAAAATCTGTCGGTACCCATCAATATTATATTGGAGCAAATTTTCATATTTCATATTCATTTAAATTTTGAACGAACTTCTATTATGCACAACAACAGTGAATTCATAAAATTATTAAGAAAGAAGTTTCAAATATAGGCAAATGTTACAGCTTGCACCACCACTTGAGTTTACAAGAACTGAGTGCAGTTTTGCACATCATGACAATATTAGACGGAGGATATCACCCGAGAACTTAAACGATTTCTCAGTTTCTTCCAAGCAATGGTTCTTCTCCTCTCTAGTCCATCTCTGAATAAAACAACATATATGAATATATCAGAAACTAAGAGTATAAACAAAATAACTGCATTCAAGAGTAATTATAACAAATAAAGAAAATCAAAGAAACTTAACCACAGAAAACAAAACAAGAGAAAATTACTTCAGCAACTCTATTCAGCTTCTCCCTCACATTCTGCAACAGTTGGGAAAGGTCACCATTCCATTTATAGAATTCTAACTCTTTACTGTTTAGAATCATTTCAGCTACCTGAAAAGGTAAAAAATAGAATAATTTAAGCCATGTAACAAGGTAACACCTGATAACTTAGATTAAAGAGATTAAAATCACCTTTTTTGCATCTTGAGCAAAATCTCATCAGAGTTGCTACGCATAAAAAAGAAAGGACATTTGGTAGGAAAGGATAGGAAGCAGGGACTCATCTTTAACTTAGCAAAGCAGGGTATAAAGTGGGTACACAGTGAATCCAATGGCCAGGTCGAATAACAAAAGAACTACAAGTTATGGGGACACTTAGACAAGATGAAACTTAATCATCTGCTCATTAACAAACACTGTTGACCTTAAGGACTCCATCCAAGGATAATCTAGAGGTTTTGATAATAACAAACCATTAATGGTGTTTAAGGACTGATGTTTACATTGAGTGCTATAAATAATTTACATTCAAAGAAGAACCTCAATGAAGATCATAAAGATCATTCCAAGTATTCCATTACTCAAGATCACATCAAGGAAAGCAATGGATACAAAGAAGACATGAAATTGTAAAGAACCAAATGCAAAGTCCATCCAAAGATAACTTAGACTACAATGAGCAAGAAAGCAACTCAAAGGAGGGAAGAAGAAGACTACCTCAAAGCCTAAAGATCATGGACAAAGCTTAAAGAAAGGGGTAGATAGGATGGTGAGTGTTTAGAATTAAATGTCAAAATATTTATGAATCCATTTGAAACTCATCTCTATAGGACCATGCATATCATTACATCATTCATATGCTCCTATATCTATTAGCAATAAACTATGCACTTCATTTATATATAATTGACATATGGAGTCTTTGCTAAAAAGTGAGTTAGTTCAAGGTTGCATAAGTTTTGAAAGAACTCATCACTTGTGCTAGAAATGCTAAGACCATGCACATCAATCACATGATTCATGTTGGTCAACGATTGAGGCATATGAAGCTTTCATTACCATGAGTTGGTAACGGACATTAGGACCCCTGAATGCACATCATGAAAAACTGTGTTTTTGGCTAAGTGTGAAAAATGAATTTTTGAAATAATGATTATTTCAAAATAATTTTTCCCAGTAAATTCTCCTTGCACTTCAAGTAGCTTAAACTGATTTTATAGGATTTTATGACCAAGTCTACATTAGTCTACACGAGGATTCATTTTTACCAAAACCGTCGAAAATCCAAATTTGTACTAAAACTGAATTTCTACATTTTGATTTAGTTGAATTTCAAGTTTCTTATATTTTTTATTGAATCCAAATGGGGAGTACTTCCTTATTTACATTGTAAACTTAAAGTAAATTGACATATAAATATTCTAAAGACATTTACTTAAATGTTTAAAATGGAAGTGCAGATGTCCGGTAGAAAAACTGTATCATCTATTAGCTTAGAACAAGACTTCTGAAGCATCAGTTTCATTTCGGCAGACCGAAATGCATAGGCAAATTGAACCGAACGATCGGTTACTGGGCAGTAGCCAAGACAATTCGAGAGGCACAACCGGCAGACCGGTTTGCCATTTCGGACAACCGAAATGAGGCCTTAGGCAGACCTTATTTCATTTCGGTCGACCGATATAAGTCCAGTTTGAATTTGAACGGCTATTTTTCCTCCAGCTCCGTGCACAATAGCTATATTTTTTAATAGCTGCATCAAAACTCTATAAATAGAGCTGGGGACTTCAGGATTTAAGTGTTGCTACCATAGAGAAACATCATATAGCATCCAAAGAGCTATTATTCTTGTATTCATACATCCCATATCATTAGAAAAGTATTGTGCTTCATTGTATTCATATATATACTCTAGAGTGAGTTTAAACTTTGTACTACAAATCTATGAGAGATTATCTTATACTGAAAATCTAATATTTAAATCTGTTGTAAAGCCTAAGAGGAGGTGTTCTCTTAGCAAAGGAAGAAGAAGCTAGTTGGCTTGAAATTTGTAAGGGTTGGTGTGACCCAAAGGAAGACTAAGGGAAAGTTATTCCCTTAGCAAGGTGAAGCAAGGAGTTGCTTCATGTAAAGGTTTGCCCTACACAGGGCCGGTCCTGAGATTGACAAAATCTTAAGAAGCCCTAGGCAAACTTAAACTTAAGGCCCTTTAATTACTGAAATACACACTAACATAAAGTAGTAAAGGGCCATATTCAATTTCGAATTTAATCACCAAGTTTTTAAGGGCTCTAATTTTGAATAGGCTGTGAATTTGTTTAATCGAAGGGCCTTAAGTTTTTTTTTTAATATTATTATTATTATTTTGGCCTATCACTCATGGTAAGGGGCCTAATTTTTTTTTTTTTTTTTTTTTTTGAACCTATCACTAATGGGCCCAAAAATTTTGAGGCCCTAGGCGACCGCCTTGGTCGCCCGGCCCTAGCCCTACACCAGTAAAAAGAAGCCATAGTGGATTGGGAGGTCTTAAGAGGAGTCTTGAGCCGAGGAGTAGGAGTTTCTGAACCTCGCTAAAATCGCCGTATAAATGTTTGCAAATCTCTCTTCCCTCATCTCCTTTACATTTATGCTATTAATTGCTTATGTCTATATATTGATTATTGCAAAATTGTTAAAAGGTTTTTAGTAAAATTTATAAAATTGAAAATTGGCCATTATTTGCCATAGACTCTGTTCCCCCACCCAGAGTCAATACTTGAGCAACAAACACATTTCAGCAAAAGCTGTATTTTCATACTGAAGAAAGAAAAAATGAGTTTTGGGGTTGGTATTGATCCAAGAGACCTACTTCACTTGCATATAGTGCATATGTTTTCAATACTAACTACTTTATACCACAGTTATAGGAATGAGAAAATATTAGATGGAGCAATGAACACAACTCGTATTTCATTACAAGACAATGCATATATATATATATATAATTTGTTGTTATGAGATAATGTAATTTAAAGTTTAAAACTTTCCAAACAAATACTTATTTACCTTTTTCCCAATCATTCGACCACCAGCTGTGTGAGCAAAGTATATATTGTAAAAATGGCAAAGGAATCCTTGAGGATCTTTCTCCGATAATTCTTCAAGAAAAAGAGCATAGCTAGCACCAGGAGATGATGGTTCAGGAATGACATGACCTTTCTCTTTAAACCATTCCAGATCTTTTGCCAAACCTTCTGACCTCTCCAACCCTGTATTTCTGAATTCAGCATCTGTATAGAGAACAAAAAAGGTATATTTTTAGAATTTACTTGAATGAAGAAATTTGAAGTACCTGAGATATTTGAAGCTAAGGGATTTAAAATCAATATTTAAAAGCTCCACTGATTGGCATATTTTGTTTGCATACAAATCCCTACATCTCACATATTTCTTGTTTAACACAACAAGATATTAGAAAATAAGATTTTTATTTTGACATCCATATTTAATACTCACTGTTTAGATTATAGAAAGAGAAAACCAAGGACAGAGAAGTGATAAAGAAAGTCCTTACAGACAGGCTCGCTGAGAGAGGAGAGAGAGCGCTTGGTAACGTTCAATTAACCAGCAAAACTCAATGGTCCATTGACTTAATTGCTTTCTTTCATGAGACAATCATCTTTGTATTAGAGCCCCAAAATCCATCCTTGAATAACTCAAAGAGTATTTAAAATTCTTGTAGCGTTTTACTGAGTATTTTGAAATCCTTTTTCAACCTCATATCTCTCAAGTAAACAGAGCCTTAGGATTCTAGCTACGTCATTGAAAAAAATAAAAAAAATAAAAAAAAGCCTTCTGTGGGTGGCACATAACGGCATGCTCATTAACCAGATCATCTATTTGAAAAGGCCACAAAGATCACAACTTTCAAGTTATCAAATAAATTCATAAACATAATTGCCTCTCTAACAGCGCAGCCAGAGAACACTATTTGTGATATTTCATATTGACCATTGAAACTACAAATTTAGCATTTAAATTTCATAACTTTGAGTATATTAGAGCTTGGGAAGTATATGACCACGCATATGTTCAAAATTTCTAACTAGACAGTTCTTGCATTTAAATGCCTGTTAGCACTGATGAACTAAACAATGCTCAATCTTCCAAATTGAAACTTAGAATAGTTTTCCAATCATGTCCAATCAATAAACTAAAAAACAAACCGCATCTTAACACTTGTAAAGGAAATCGAAGGGCTCAAAATTTTTTTTGATAAGTAATATGTGCATTAGAAAAAACACTCAAAAGGAGAACACATCCCCAAAAGCTACACAAGGCCAAATAGGGCCTCTAAACTCTCAAAGTCTCCAAAAGATCAATAATCTCCTCTATGTATATACAATTTCTCCCCAGGACCCAACAGATCACGGAAAGGCTCAAATAAACACAGACATGCAAAATCACACCACAGGCTGTTTCAAACTATAGCTAATTAGCAACTTGCCAAGTGACACCCGAACACAATTAAAGTCACAGAACAAACATCAAAGAATACAATAATAACAATAACAACCAAAACGTATCAAAACAAAAACTATTGTAATCATGTCCAATCAGAAAACTAAAAGATAACCCATCTTAACACTGTTGTTAACTTGTTGTAAAGAATAGCAAGCAAGTTAACAACTTGTAAAAATTACACCCAAACACAATTGAAATTAAAGAACAAACTTCAAAAAAAAAAAAAAATCAAACACAATCCACGAAAAAACAAACTGAGTAAAGCTTACATTCAGGAAAAGCTGCTTTTTCGATGATCGTCTCAAGCGTATCGTAAACCAACTTGCTGTCCACAAGAAACCTCAAATACCCATCAATGGAGGGTTTCCATTTGGCTACTGGTTGACCCTGGGGCTCCTTCTCGCCCTCTTTCGCCTGGTCTCTGGTGTGCAATTTCATTGCCACAAACCTCATCTCCTCCACGAACCCTTTTGCCTCTCCTGGGTACCTCTTCTTCGGCTTCTCCGCCGTCGTGGCCGACACAACCACCATCTTCTTCTTCGAATGCGTTGCCATAGTTCCACCACCCGTACTGTGATCAGAGAAAACCCTAGAATTAAAATTGGGGCTAGCGATGAAAGTGGTCCGGAGCTTTCTTGTTCTGAATTGAAGTTTGTTGAAAAGAGGTTGAGATTGATAAATGGGGCTGATAGAAGCCATGTGAAGGAAGTGGTAGTTGAGTTGATTTTAGAGAGAGAGAAGAGTGAAAGAATGGACTACGATGACTCTTCACGTATCCTTGAAGCCAAAGCGATATATATATATATATATAAAGAGTATTTTGGGGGGAAATGAATGTAGGGGTTTGATACTATCGGCATAGCTTCCATGAATACGTTTCTTTTCTTTATTTAAAGCTTCAATTCAATGGCCTGCTTCTTCCGGATAAAACGAGAATGTCCTTGTTGATGAAAGGAGGCGACGACGTTTATTAGTAATATATTACAGAACGACGCCGTAGCATCCATCCCTTTTGCGGTTTTGCCTTCCTTTTGCTTGTGGACGATAGATTCTGACATGGCATTCTTGGTACCATGAATTTGGGAGAAGAAAACCAAAACCTTGGCAAGTTGCTATATTATTTTTAAGAAATACTCCCTCCCTCTGTCATTCCCAAAGACACTAAGTTTAATTTGGGACGGGGAAGTATTTATTATATTATTTTATTAATATATAAATTAAAATATTAAAATAAAACTAACAAGCATAACTAATATTATTTCTATATAAATAGGGTATATAAATTTTTTTATTTTTTATTTTTTATTTTTTTCTTTGCTCAATCACATACGTGTCTTTCCTTAAATTTAATTTTTCAAAATCCTTCCTTATTACTCTTCCTCCATATAAATAAATCTCTTAATTTTTTTATTTCCAGTAAATAAAAACTTCTCTCCGCCTAATTTATTCACATTTTTTTTTTTTTCTTAAAGAATGGAAATGGTTGATAGCTTCATGAGCATCAAATTAAACAATCCAATGGAATTTTTATTCTCTTGATAACCGCTTGTTTATTTTATTAATTTTGGCATCCAATGGAATTTTTTATTTTTATTTTATTTATTTATTTTTTTTTGGGCACTTGCAAGGTTCTTTATGTGACTTAACTCTTCCATTTTACTTCCATCCATCAACTTTATCAGAAGTTAATTACAATAACAACATCATTATGCTCCAATGTTGCATATGTTACACTGATATCATTAAGCTGCTAATTGAACTTTGAACATATTTTTCTGATCTCTCCTTGTGTACCAGTCTTCACCTCAATGCTACTCATTTTGATCATAGCTTTCTGAAACTCGAAATCAAATCTAAATCCCAGTAAGCCTCTTATGTTCCCTGCATAATTTTGCACGATGCTGCGCGTTGCAGCATCTCCCCAGAGCCTCTGGTCCGACTCCAGAATTCCATTGCCATCTCTGACATTCTTGAAGAAGCTCGCATCAAAATTCATCTGACTATCTTTGTCTAACGCCACGCGTTTTGAGCCATCGCCATCTTTGGGGCAGAGGGCTTGTAGTTGCGCCACGAATGCTTGGTTTATAGTTGGGTCTGAATTGCCTGTTGTCGTGTAGTTGTACAGACGGTATCTGAAGAATAAGCAGTCTGTTTGGCCTATGGTATGTGCCCCTGCATATCAGAAATAACCCTTTTAATACTAACATTTGATAATATAAGTATAAATGGTTACATTGAAATGAGAGAGGTGAAGAGTGTACCAACAAGTGTGACAAGGTCATGATCATCTAGGCCTTTGGCTGAAAACTTGCTTCTCTGGGCAGCAACAGAATCGAAAGGAGATGGCATATTTGAGGACTCAGATGATGAAGAGATCCTACCATCTCTTCTTCCAGCAGGCACTACCCAACTTGGACCTTGGCTCTGAGATGTGGCATCAAATTAAAAACACCCCATTGACAACCATGCCAAATATTATTTTGTGTGTGTGTGTGTGTGAGTGAGCTAGAGAGACACAGGGTTGTAATGTGGTCTTTAATTAATTGATTATTAATTACCAAGTCTACAGAATCACGAGCAGCGAATGCTAGTATATCAGCACATGAGACCAGTCCAGGGCACAAGGCCTCTAGTTGTGTCTTTGCATCATCAACCACTTCAAATCCTCTCAATCCAAGGTTTGGCAATGCATTCCTTTCAGCTGAAGCTCCTGTAATCAAAATTGAACCATCGCAGCCCTGCAAACATATATATATAAATGCCTATCATGTCAAAATAATAAGAAATACCCCTTGATATATAAACTCTGATATCAATACATACATACATATAAATAAATAAATAAATAAATTAAGCACCCGAACAAAGCAGTCATGGAAATGAAGCCTAAGCAAGCCAGCTGCAATGGTTGGATCTTTGCGGAAGTTTGCTTCAACAGTGGACCTGACTATGGCTTCTGCTTTTGGGCAAGACGAAGAATAGAAATTTGTTCTTAATCCTCCTTGACCTTTTGCTGCCAAAACCATCAACAGAATCACTAGAAAACTCAGACATATAGTTTCCATCTGAACTAATTAACAGGCTAGAGATAGAGTACTCGATGATTCTCGGTCACTAATGCTACAATTTATACGCAGTTTTGCTTAATTTCTACTGTACGTTTTGGTTGTCCCTTTCATTGAATTTTTTGGGCTAGCTTTTTGTTAAACTTCCTTAAGTGGAGACGCGTTGGACGATAGGTGACAGATGGCGGGGTTCCTTTTCTTAGGCACTCACTTGGTGTTTGGAGAGTCTGAAGTGGGATTCACTGGTGATTAATATTGTATTTCAAGAAATGATGATAATGGATTCTCTCTTATCTTTTATTCTTAGCTTTTTTTTTTTTTTTTCCCCTTCTTGACGCGTTAAACGTCTCCCTGCTCTATCGTTTTCTCTCTCTTTTCCTTTTCTTCGTTTCAAATATTTTCTTTGCATTCACATTTACTTTCTATTTTTCATGCTTGCATGTATCTGCAGTTTGATTGATTGGCACAGAAATATATTATGTTGACAACACAATAATGCCATGCTTGCAGCACCTAATCAACATAACATGCAATTAATCAGAGTCTAATGAAGTTTAGCGATCGCCATGATTTATTGTCGCTCATACTTCAAATAATTTAAGGGTGGCATAGTATGAAGTTCATGGACATCACAGTGCACCTCAATCTATAATAAAGATAATGAATCAACTGGTATTGCTTACAAGGATAAGGTCACTTCAAAAGTGACATGGAATTCATCATTTTAATTTGGTGCATGTGAACGCACAGAACAATCAACTACAATGGAGCCGCTGCATGACATTAGAGACTTCATTTTCCTTTCAAACATTTTTTTTCGCATTCACATTTGCTTTCTGTTTTCCATGCTTACATGGATCAGCTGCTTGATTGGCATGGTAATATATTATGTCTTGGGATTTATATGCCCTAGCATAACAAATTCGTATTTGGATTAAAGTGATATATCTTCCTAACATATTTGAAATATTTATACTTTATATAATTAGTAAATTCAATGTATTATGTTTCGATTCATTATGGAATTGATAATGTCCACTTGATTACAAGAGATATTTATATATGTATGTAATGGCGATCAATACATTAATATAAATAATAATTATAAATAGTTCATACTTGGTAATTATGGATGAATTCATTATTAACTAAAACTTGAACTGGATTCACATTATGTTGAGATATATTACGAGAGCCGTCGTATGTAATTGCTCCCTATCACTGTCATGTTATTTGACTCTTACGCATGAGAGATATATAAACTCTTTTATTAATTAGTAATTACTTTGATTTGTTCAGCGGAATCTTTGGAATCCATAGACTGACACTTTGGGTAATTATGTAATTAATAGTTAGAGAGTTATATTTTCAATATTTGCATCATTACTACTTGTATATATTTTGTATTGATTATGGCTGATTACAAAGTAAATTCGAAGGCCTTCGTGTATTTTTAAACAAAATGATTTTATTTATATATATTTATTTATTTAAATTATTATTTTTATCAAACAAATGTTTTATTGTGATCAAACTGGAAATAATCAAAGGTACCAAAATAAATATATTAATTTAATGGTCGGATTGATGGGTTTATTTATCCGATAACTAATTATGTATAGAGGGATAAAAATGCAATATTAACTTAGAGGTTATTTATTATTTAATTAGAGTCCAATTAATTTCTTTTAGTGGAGTAGAAATTAATTTATGAATTAATTGAATTAGGTCCATGGATCAGGCCAATTATTAATTCATTGTAGCCAAGAAAATAATAAGCCCAAAGGATTCTCACTCATAACCCAACTTGATATTGGAATCCCATTAGATTTGAGATACCACTTTAATTTTAGACATTGAGGAAAATATAATACCTTCAATTATTATTTTTATGTTGTCTGTATATACATGGAGTCCATGTATATTTTAGGTTACGACTATGTGTAATTATTTTTAGAAGACAATAAATTATTTTGTCTCTAAGATTTGAAGGTTCGTGTTCTCATCCGATGGAGGCTCCTACAAGTTTAACTCTCCAATATCATTCAAGGAGGCTGCATGTAAGAAAGGAATTTACAATAAGTGAGAACATTCATTTTAAAAAAGAGATTTACGGTTTACACAAACCTTGATGTAAGTTTTCTATCTCTACTTTAATGGATCATCATATTCTTGATACATAAAACTTGTATCTACACATTAATCAAGATCTTTATTTGAAAATCCCTTATTATGTTTTAAAAACTTCTGTTTCCCAACATTATGTTTACACATTAATGCCATGCTTGCCCGTATATGCCTAGTCAACATAACACGTAATTAATCACACAGTCTAATCATGGTTCGTGATGACCACGATATTTAATTGTGCGCTTATATATGCATCAATATACCTCTAATAATGGCATGGTATGAAACCGCTGCATCAAATGATTGTAATCAGCTATACAAGGAAAAATATGGAAGAGTTTCATCATATAAGAAGTAAAATCTTCCTAAAATGTTCCTCAACACGAGAATCCATGTGAAAAGTAAATTAAATCATCTCAATAACAGAGTGGAATATCGTATTTAAGTGAACTCGTTTAACTTGCAAACAAGAACTTAGCAAGCTTTTGTCAGTTCCTCAATTGGCATGGATTCACTATATCTAATCCTATCTTACGTGGTGATTAATTAACTAGCCAACCCAACCAAGCGACTTGCTTGTAGTTAGGTTTTGTACAGTGTGAATGCAAAGGCTGGAGTGGAAAGTCCATTGAGGGGCTAAAACATCAGCAAATGCGATATCACAATGCACAAAATCTTCCCGACATATCAAAGAAAATACTGGTCTTCACGATACTCCATCCATTTAGCTTCTGTTACTTTTGGTGATGTGTTGGTGTTATCATGTTAATTTATTTTAGATACATGGGAAAATATTACTTCTTTTTTCTTTTTTTATTTATTAGGTAAATAAAATCTCACACACACTCAAACAAGAGGTTATACCACCTGTGTAGTGGAAAGAGATTACTTACACAGAGTGTAGCATAAAAATCATCGTTTCAACTTTATCGAGTTTGCCATGCATTATATGTAGAAACAATATCCATGCATTTATATAATTTTATAATGTCAATGGTCCCCTTTCTTACGCATGATTTGGTTACTCATGGTGAACAGAGACTTCCACTAAATTTTGAAATTAAACAAAGTCCATACTAGAGACCAGTGCTATCATGTGCTAGTACCAGTCTGGTAATAATGGTAACAGAAGTCAGGATATATTCCTCTCCAAGGGAGCTTTCAAAATGAGGGATTTTTCTCAATTTCAGTTCCTCAGTCATAACGTCACGCCACTGAGGGTGTACTGGTGCATCTGCAATTCTATAAGGAAGAGGGACCGAGGCAAGAGAAAGAAGAAAACTCCGATAGGAGAGTGGGAGAGCACAATCGGAAAGCATATTCTCAACTGCTAATTTAGAACTGAATTGTAATTGTAGCTGCAAAGTAATATTTGTCTAATCTTTATAAAACAATCAAAAGGAGAGGCATAGTTTTTAAATAATAATAAAAATATAAAAGAAACACATCAGAGCAAAAACAAGTGTTTTTTTTTTTGGGTTAATGAAAGCAAAAACAAGTTGTTATTACTTCCACTAAACAATGTTGCTCCTGTACGTTTGGATTGGTGCAATTGGATCCTCCCATTTTCTTTCTACATTCAGATTTAAATTTCATCCTACCTCCAAAGCTATCTTCTACCTTGAAATTATTTCATCACCTCCAAAGTTATCTTCTACCTCGAGAAAAGCACAATTATCAGGAGTGTTCCTAAAATGGACCATATATATAAATCAACTAAGCAGCCCTTAAAATCAATTAAACTTGGCTCCTGGATTAGCAAAAAGCACATTTGCCTACTGGGAAGTTTAAAATTTGCAGGAAGCTTGAAGAGACATACAGAACATATGATTCTATTATACGAAATTTGCAGGAAGCTTGAAGAGACATACAGAACATATGATTCTATTATACGAATTTCATCGTCCTTAAATTTATAGATTTTACACGTGTTAGTAAAATACATGCATTTCAAATGCACAAGTAAAAAAATAAAAATAAAAATAAAAAAAACAAAAACTAAAGGAAGTGACACATTTATCCTCTCTCCCTTCATAAAATTGAACTATTTTGCTTCTTGCTCCAGAACAGGAATTTTATTCCATGTATCCTCCAAACCACTAATTTGCAGCGGCGGCAATGAGAAAAAACTAACAGTTGAGCTTTTACTGCGAATTTCCTTCAGAGCTCGCAGTGCTGATATGGTGCTCTTCATGTATAAGCTCTCCATGAACTCAATTTCTGCAAGTTCCTTGGGTATCCTCAGCAGACCATCATTCTTGGTAGTGGCAGAAGAAGTTAAGGGTTCATCATTCCCATCATCAGTTGCCTCGGTAGAAGCCAGAGGTTTGTTTACAGGAAAAAGGCGATCGAGCATTGTCTCACACTCCTTCACAAGCTTGTATAGTAAATCAGTGGTGAAGAAGGGTTGCTGTAAGACCCTCTGAATGAAGGGCAGGCGAAGGAGGGCGCCAGTTCTCTTGTCATACTTCTTAAGTATCTTTACCAATCCTGTTCAAACCAATATTACGTAAATATTACTTCACTTGGATACATCAAAGAATTAACATTGAAGAAGTTTCAAAAGTCCATGACTGATGATTGCACATGCATTTTGCAATACAGTCAGCCAGTATATTATTATTCCCGCAGTTCTCAGATAGTTCTGTTCGATAAAACTTTATAGTTCATGATTTTTAAAATTCAAAAAATCTGTATTTTTCAGGCACCGCAAGTTTTAGACTGACACTAAATACTTGCTCGACAGTAACTAGTCCATGTACAAGATCTGCATTTCCACGTGCATTGCGAGCTTAGCTGGACTTACATGTGGTCATATCTACCACATACATGTGTCATAAAATATTTGCATTTTCTTCCAGAAAAGCATTGATTCTAATACCAGTCGAATGCAATTATGCTAATGAGGTACTTATTTTATCAAACACAATAAACTGATATTAAATCATCGACTCGTGCAAAAAAAAAATAATGGAGAATGAATTTACCTGTATAATTAAGGGCACTATAATTCTCCAACAAAACCATCTCTCCATGGAAGTCCACAATCTCCTTCCGTATCTTTAACATCTCTTCACTCCAATCCTTGGCCTTTGCAACTCTATCTTGCAACTCCTGTACCACCAATCACAATAAAATTAAAACATGCCACCATTTAATCTGAATCCACCATATCCCACCTAAACTCACAAATTTATTATTTATTTTTAAAAATAAAAAAGAACGGACATCTTTCGACCAAACATAGTAATGGAGCACAGAATATGCTAAATTGAGAACATTAGTGCGCAGAAATTACTCAAACAAAGTGGAACACATTACAATTGGACTTGGATTCTTTTCCAAGCATCTGGACAAAATTGATGTAATCACAACCACCCATTAAAAAGGTAAACACACTACAACTAAACTATATTTTCCATGTCGTCAAATGAACTGTGAAGAAAAAAATTCACTAATCATTTCAAGAGAAAATATTACAGCATACATCATTTATAGTTCTATTGAAACAGAAAATGTGGATTTTCAGTCCCAAAAACCAAAATTCATGACAAATTTGAACCATTAACTATTGACTGCTGACTGCGAATTTATGACAATTCTTGGATTTGAATCTAAAATTATGTTTTCGAAAATCCAAATTGATACATAACTAATCAGTATTGATTTTTTTCAATAAATAAAAATCCTTGTCAATTTCAATTATAACAACAATTATGAGTATGTGTAAACCCCAGAACAGAAATTGTTACAGAGATATTTAATGGAGTTTTTTTTTATATAATTTCATTGGTTTCATGGGAACCAAGCCAACCAACTCCTATCTTTTTCTTCTTTTTTTTTTATTTTAAGGGTTTAGTATTCAATAGTAAATTAAGTCAATTGTCATTTCAAATTTTACTTCATTTTAAAGAAGTTTGTGACATTATAAGAATATTCAAATTGCATTATAACACTGACATAATTAGATAAAAATAAATTAAGCAATGAATTAAGTCATCAAACAACCATCTTAATTTAACAAAAATACAGAGTGTACTGTTTAATAATAATTAGTAAAATTTCAAGAATTCGGTTTAACACACAGTATATAGAAATTAGAAAGGGAACGGTGTCGTTTTGCTATGTTGCAAAACAAATGCAAAACTAGATCTCAAGCCATTAATTAATGAAAGATTAATGAATTAGTAGCAGTAGTAGTACCTTTAGTCTGATAATGTACTCTTCCTCCTTCTCGACGAAGAAGGTGTTGAATTTCTCGAGCTCGTCCTCCAACAATTTGATGAAATCGACCTCCTCTTTGGTCATCTCGCTCACCTCCTTCTCTCCGGCACCGTCCGTACAATCTCCGGCGGAGGCCAACCTGGGCCGCTTGGTGGCCCTCTTGTCTCCAGCTTTGGGTTCAATGAGTTTCAGCTTCTTCTTCAGCTCTTTATAGGAAAGAAACTTGTCTCTCCATTCAGGTAAGGTCTCGTCGATCTGATTGCTAAGACTCTTTCCGAACTTCATATCGATACTACTTTCTCTCTCGAGAATTAAGTAATTAGAAGCAGTAGACAAGCGAAGGCGATGGGAGGGAAATTAAGAAAATGAGTACATAGTATGAGAGGAAAGTGAAGGAAAGTGGAAGAAAATGGGAGGGTGGAGGAGGGGATGATATAACGTAAAGACAGAATATGCGAGGGCTGGAATTGCGAATATTCTTTGTTTTTGTGCAAGGAGGAGTATATCTCAGGGTTTTATTCCGTTGATAGAGAGACTTTAATTGGGATGCCAGGTGGCAGACGAAGTGGCGCCTGTTGAAGCTGGTTGGCATTGGATTGACTGTTGATAAGCCATGAGCTAATTTTAGAAATATTTTTTATTCTGATTAAATTTGACTGTATTTCATAATTAATCATAGAATCTCATTATAAGCACTGATAAACTTGTAGTGTTTATAGGTTCCAAAATTTTGAATATATAAAATAAAAATTTTATTATATTCCACTTTTAAAAAATTATACAAATTTCTTCTATCAACGTCCTTAAGATTAGAAGATTGAGAATCATGATCATCTTCAATTTTTTGTATTTTGCATAAGATTATGCATATAAAATGTGGAGTTGTAAATTATCGGATAATAAATTATAATGTGCTCTAAAAAGCCCTACATCACAATGATACCAAAAAATAATAATAATAATAAACATAAACACACCACCATGGGAATTTATTTTGATTATAAGTTTTTAGCTGCCACGCTATTCACAATATATATAACTTGTTTTTCTTTCAATTATTTTATAATCATATTATTTATTAAAAAATAATAATAAATACACTAATTTTTATAAGTGCACTTTTTTTTTATTTTGAATAAATTACACGAATCTCCCTCATAATTTGCTTTAATTATACGAACTTTTACTACTATTGACAAAATTACACAGATCTCTCATAAAAAAACAAACCTTGTTAAATAGGTCTCTTGTACTAGTGACGGACCACCAAATGAATTAATATATTTGTACATTTTACTAAAATGTCCTTACAAAACACCATGAAAATGATTATACTACCTATATCATCTTGATGATGCTTTGCCATGTCACCAATTTTTAGAGGAAAAATTTTTGAAAAGGGGAAAGCTTTCACTTTCACTTTCACACTGCAGAGATAGGGTTTACAAAGATTGACAATTAGATGACATGGTGGAGTTAACTCCATTCATACTTGACAAGTCATTGACGAGAAGAGATCCAATCCATCGTAAGTAAAATCAAGGATAGTTGTATCAAGCACTGAGCTTGCTGCTAGTGGTTGGCTTGACACTTCCATGGGTTACTCTTCTTATTTTTATAATAACACAACACCAAATGAAATCTAGTATGTTTGATAATAACTACTTTATATTTAGCAAACTTAATCTCCAAATACAACAATTTACGTGTGTGTGTGTGTGAATGTTAAAGGTTTTTTTTTTTATTTTTTATTTTATTTTTAAAAGGTTGCATGAATTTTAAATTTCATTGGTTGAAAAGATATCATGTAGTCAAATCAGAACTAGATGATTTGGAACATGGTAATGGATTGCTTTTGGATGGGAAGTTCGTGTAAAGGTTATAGTGGAAGGGATGATGTGGTCTGATTTGTAATTTCACCTTATAAAAATAAGGTTCAAACTGTCTTTTAATTTAATTAAGGGCAGTATTGGTATTTTAAATATATTTAGTAGATGACATTAACAATTTTTGTCATTGATTAAAGCTACTCTGTGTAATAAAGTTAAGTTTTGTTTTTAAACGATGTCAAGAGTAATTTTAAAATTTATAGAGAATATCTTTGTAATTATAATAAATCTTAAAGAAAATTAGTGTAATTTATCTTTTTATTTTTGATTTTAAGTTAAATGATGTAAATAAATTTTATACTTAATTCTCATTAATTGAATCAACAAAAAAATCATGATAATTCACATTTATATAAAATTAGAATGCATTCATCACATCTTTTATGAAATTGTGGACATAACTGTTAAAAGAAAATTTCTTTCACCAACTTACCCAAAAAATAATAATAATAATAATAATATAATAAAATTGATATTTGTAGTTCATCCACGTGGCGAACCAGGATTCACTCCAAAGGAACAGCCGTTAGTAGGCTAAAGCAACTCCGCCAAACGAGGCTTCAACCCGCGCCTAGAAAGCCGAGCACCGGCTCGTTCCGAGCCAATGACTTATTTTCCATTGATTAATGGAAGAGGTTTGGTATAATCTTGAAGGCATGTGGAATATGCGTGACTTTTATGCCAAACAAATATAATACCATAAACACAAAGGTCATTTCAAGGTAAGTTTGAAATCAAAGCTTGATAAATAACTTATGGAATATTCTATTTATGTTCTTTGGAAGATTCGGATATCTTTGTGGGATACCCTTAAGTTTTGACGTTGGAAGTAAGGTACACTTATTTTATTGATGATTACAAAAAATAAAATAAAGTATCGTTCGTTATTAACGTATTTAGACCGAATCTTTATAATGATCTCAGTTAGATTTAGTAGAAAATAATGTCAATATGTTTAGACCGAATCTTTACAATTATCTCAGTTAGATTTAGTGAGAAATAATGTCAATATCATAATAAACGTGAACTTGATAAGATACAAGTCGTTCTAACTATCAAAATATTTTTTAAATTTTAGTAAAAAATAACGTCAATATACTATAACAACAATAAAATGTTAGTAAAAAATATCGTCAATGAACTATAACGATAATAAAACGTTAGCTTAATAAAGTATAAATCGCTCTGATTATCAAAATATTTTTCAATAAAACTGTGTTGAAAAAAACATTTTTGACCCAATTTTTTAATAGTCAGGGCGGATTATTCCATAAGTTATTTTCCATTGATTACTGGAAGAGGTTTGGTATAATCTTGAAGGCATGTGGAATGTGCGTGACTTTATACCAACAAATATAATAAAAAGTACATATGCGTGCCCTTTTTTAAGCTGCCTTTTTCCATACACCATAAACACAAGGTAAATTTGAAATCAAAACTTGATAAATAACTTATGGAATATTCTATTTATGTTCTTTGGAAGATTCGGATATCTTTGTGGGATACCCTTAAATTTTGATGTTGGAAGTAACGTACACTTATTTTATTGATCATTATAAAAATAAAATAAAGTAAAGTATCATTACAGTGAATATGTTTAGACCGAATCTCTGTAACTATCTCAGTTAGATTTAATAAGAAATATACTATAATGACAATAAAATGTGAGAGTCAATATACTGTAACGACAATAAAACGTAAGCTTAATAAGTTATAAGTAGTCCTAACTATCAAAATATTTTTAAAATTTAGTGAAAAATAATGTCAATATATTGTAATGACAATAAAACGTGAGCTTAATAAGTTATAAATCGCTCTGACTATTAAAATATTTTTCAATAAAACGTTGTTGGAGTATTAAAATATTTTTCAATAAAACGTTGTTGGAGAAAACGTTTTTTACCCAATTTTTTAAAGTAATTTAATTGTCCACTTTTATCAATTAATACCACACGATTTTTCTTTTTCTTTTTCTTTTTCTTTTTTCCGACTAGTCGGTCTAAAATCTACCTATTTCCTGAATTTGTTTTTAAAATTAGAGCAAATATATTGTGAAGATACCTTTCAAAAATAATGTATATTATGAAGAAACTGTTGCTAAATAATGCACTCATAATGGTTGTGAAAATGTGTATATATTGAATTGTTATTGTTATTTGGTAATGGTTTTTCTAATTTTACTTTGCAAATACTTGGTTCAAGAGCTTCTCCCCCATTCTCCAACCCTTTTTGTAATTTTGTCCTTTATAGTTTAAGATTGCTCCTTAAAACTCCAGCCAGTTTGGAAGATTTTATTGCAACTTGCTTTTATTCACAAAACATGTACTACAATTTCTTCTCATCTTATTCTTCTTCTTCTTTCTCATCCACAAGTCATTCTTTACGAAAAATAAAAATGTTATAATACTACCCAAAAAAAATTAAAAAGAAGTTCTTTATCCATTTTAAAAAGTAACAATATATCATGAGTTTATATATATATATATATATAATTTTAAGGTTTCTATAGGCAATAAACACATAATTTACAAGAACGATAACAACAAGATACTTTAAATATTTTATATTATTGTCAGATCATATTCTTTTTGTATCGAAAGGTCTCATATTATCAGTTTATAATTCATATATATATATATATATATATATATATATATATATTGCTAATGCGCCAAGTGAAATTAGCCGTGATGAATTTTAAGGTTTCTACAGGCAATAAACAGATAATTTACAAGAACAATAACAACAAGATACTTTAAATATTTTATATTATTGTCAGATCATATTCTTTTTGTATCGAAAGGTCTCATATTATCAGTTTATACTTCATATTGTTTTTTTATCAAAAAGTCTTATTGTTTAATAGTTATATACTCGAAAAATATATATATATATATATAGTTATATGTGTGGCCCAAGGATGGCATCTTATCTGAAGCTTATAAAAATGCGATGTAAACGACTATTATATGCATTTAATCACAAGATAAAGTGTGGGACAAGAAGTTGGAAAAGTAAAGAATGGCATATTCCAATTTGGTTCTTTTGTGCCACCCATAAATATGGTCCATCTTTTTCTATTCTACATTATCATATTCAATGTTTTAGATCTGGACTAATTATTTCTCTTTGTCAAATATATATGACCAACCACCCATTTTTTTCTCTCATATCATTCATTGCTATTATCTCTCCATTCATTGGCATTACCTTCAAGTAACTACTACCAGGTCTAGACTTTGAATGACAAAACTTTCAATTACAAGAATACTTCAAAATCTATCACTATATCTTTCGAGAAGCAATAATAGGCATATTAGACATATTAGAATCCGGATCTTATTGTGTGAGTTGAATAGTTCAGTGCATAGAGAAAGGTGAAGATTAGCGTATGTAAAGTGAACTTCGTTTTATTTTTGGAGTTAGCAAAGTCTTAAAAGGTGATAGTCATCTTCCCTTGTGATCAAAGTTGGACGTATTAAAGAACTTATTATATGCTTTTGTGACATGAATGTTTTATGTATCACATACTCTAAATATAGGTTCATGGGCCGCCAGGGGTATAGCGCGGATTCGGGAGATACGTTC